ACAGAAACAATACTGTACTACATAGATGTTTCCTGTCAGCTTGATTTTTGAGTGGACTTTGCTGTTCCGATGAGCATGAACGGTATATGAGTGGAGCACTCACATGGGCCGTGAGCGACTGAGCGTAGCACACACACGCATAGAGCGGATAACACGCAGAGCGTCACACCACGTGACAGTGAATCCTGAGCGGTGAACTAATTTTCGGCAGCCGGAATTTCAGTGCATCTCTAATTATTGGCGACATTAGAAATGGATATTATATAATAGCTGCTTTTTTGAACATTTTAGCAATTTAAAAATAGATTTTTTACACGGCACCCCTGCTCTCGACAGACGCGGCACCCCAGTTGGGAAACACTGTTCTAAATAATGCCGCGAGACGCGAGTATGGAAGGCTTGAGGAAGTGACGTCGCCTGCGTCTGCGCAGTGCGACCTGATGCAGCCCCTGAAGTGAGACACAGGAAACAGAAATACTGCAAAATAATAATAATAACGCGACTAAACGGGACGAAATAACGTTATAACATTTCGTTTAGTCTCGTTTTGGTCAACGAAAATGAAGAGACATTTTAGCATAGTTTTTATTTTGTAAACCACATTTAGTCTCGTTTTTAATCGTCACCAATATTGCATTATACATTTAATTATAGTCATTGTCACATGACCAGCATTTACGTTGCGTCTCGTCTTGTTTTTGTCACGTGATAAAGGTTCGTTGACGACGATATTTAGTCATAATTTTCGTTGACGAAAGCAACACTACTTATAACATGGATTGGAAAACTAAAAATGCACCAAATATCTTGATAAATTTGTAATGAGAACTGTTTATAAATCTGTTGAAGCATCAATAACTTTTAAGGTTGTTCAGTTTTCTAAAATAACATTTTTATATACTTTATGAAAATAAAAGCTCTATTTTTAAAGATTGAAAGCAAAGATATTAAGAGAGCCATAAATAATAGCATTGTAATTTTACTGTAAATATATTTGAACTATTTGCAATTAATATTTTTATTTTACAAACATGTACAGATTCACTCTGAATTGCTTGCCTAAAGTGCTGAAAATTATTCTATGGGTGTTTTCACATATATATTTTTTAAAAGAACCAAACCCAGTTCACTTATAGTTAACCAGAATGGGAACCAGCTGAAAGTGACTTGTGTCTGTCACGGTGTGCCTACTGTGTTGGAGCGAGGAGACGAAGGAGCGCGGAGATGGAGGGAATCCAGAAGCATAATACACTTTATTTCTCAAGGAACAAGGAACACACACGTAGCACACAGGGTAGACATTTAAGACTGAACGCAGGACTCTGGAAACACAGGGCTTAAGTACAGGAACTATATCAATAATATCTAATATCGGCTTTTGAGGCCCTCCGGAGGCCGGATGTGGGAACAGCGGCTCTCCCTGGGCTTGACTCCGGAACTGTGGCCCTCCTTGTGCTGGATGTGGGAACTGGAGCTCTCCTTGGGCTGGACATAGGAACTGGAGCCCTCCTTGGGCTGAACGTGGGAACTGGAGCCCTCTTTGGGCTGGACGTGGGAACTGGAGCTCTCCTTGGGCTGAACGTGGGAACTGGAGCCCTCCTTGGGCTGGATGTGGGAACAGGAGCCCTCTCTGGGCTGGACATGGGAACAGGAGCCCTCTCTGGGCTTAACTTGGGAACAGGAGCCCTCTCTGGGCTGGACTTGGGAACAGGATTTCTTTCTGGGTTTGATTCCGGGGCTGGAGCCGACACTGAAGCGGACTCAGGGGCTGGAGCCCACAGTCTCTTCCTCCGCATTCTCCTTTTTAGAGCAGAGGTGAGAGAGACAGCTTTTAGCTTAGGGCTTGGG